TCCTTTGGGTCTTCACTGAAGAGCTGGGTAAAAGCCCGTATGCTGATCCTAAAAAAAACAATACTGTTATAGTTAGAGCTCATCAGATATTCAGAACCAACAGCAGAAAAGTAAGAACTCATTTGCCCCTTAGAGATAACTAAAACCTTTCCACTGACCGCAGACAGTTCTTAATGCAGGTTCCTGAGTTAAATAGTACAGCTGGGAGAGCCCAGCTAGTACAGACGGAGGGCTCTGAGGTACTCTGAGAGAGGTAACAGATGGGGTTCTGGCTGCCGGCACACACAGCCTGACCATGCCTGAAGGCAGGACTAGCAGAAGCTGCAGTGGGGAGAGGAGTCAGAAATGCTTCTCAGTGGGGAGATATTTTCCCTCCACATAGCTGAACAGGGCTGTGCCAATGGAGAAATGTTTGTATTTCCCAGACTGAATTTTTGGGAAATGTGCCCTAATGAGAGCAGACTGTGGTAGGGTAGCACTGTCTTGATGATGATGAAGAAGCTGAGAGGCATGATGTGTGCTGCCTGGCACGTGCCTTCTGTCCATGTGGCTGTCCTGCGAGCAGCTTGCAGACCTCTTGGGAGTGTGTTGGCCTGTGGAAGTGGTGTGACTGAGCTGCACCAGAGCTCAAGTTTGGTCTCACAGCCTGCGTAACTGCTGAGCCTGGTCTTCGCAGTCACCCTCTTCCACAACCTACAGCTAACCCGGGCCTAGCTCTGGAGCCTGGGGATGGTGCCACAGCTTAGAATAACCACCAGGCTTTTCTAGCTTGTTCCAAAGAAGTGGTGTGGGGTAGTGGTGCCAAACAGATCAAGTGAGGCATCCTTGCCTTCTCCTGTTAAGTACTCTTCTGACTTAGCTGATGGTCTTAAGTCTTTCCAAAGAGAGATTTAGCAGCTATAGGAGAGTTCCCCATCAAGCTGAGGGAAATAAATAAGCCTACTCACTGCACTGAGTTCTGTGCATAATTAATTGTATCATTCCCGTGCTAGTGAAGGACTGGTTCATACCTATGGAACGGGGACATGGCTAAAGCTTTTATAAATTCAGTGAAACACAAAGAACATCGCACAACCCAGTTATTAGTCTACAGAAGCTCAAGTGTATCAGGCATCCAGACAGCATCATGCCTAATAATGTGACAGAGCACAACTACCAACATAAATCTAACCTATAAGCAGTCCGAGGCTTTAGAGGTCCATCGCAGAATTTGTGCTGATCTGGATCACACCTTCCTCCCAGATTTTCCATTTCTCCTCCAAGTTTAATGTCAAAGCTTTTATAGTCGCTGTCAGGGTTTTCAGCACATCTACTGGCAAAATAATTGGTCTGGTAGATGCGTATAGAGTCGTTGTGTTTGTACTCCAGGTAGGAAGGTAATGGGTGCTGCTCATCTGGCTTTGGTCCTTCACTACCTACATCATGTGCAGAGAAAGGCAGAAGGTTTATGTACCACAGCCATTAATGTGATGCAGTTTATAGGCTCAGGCTGTTGACAGACATATTCTTATCCAACTTTCTAGCATTCCTTGCAGGCTGCACAGGCTAACTTGTGAATACAAAGCTACAGTGGTTAGGGTACCTTGTTTCTAGTACCAATCTTGCTACTACTTTTCTGGGGAACTTCAGACAGATTTCCTCACAGGACCTTAGCACAACTTTTCCAGACACAATGCTGCAATAGGCATGCACGGGTAGAATTCAATGCTATGATATTTTTTACAGTGCTGTTGGTGGGAATCTCTGTGATCCAGAATCCTGTATCCTACCACCAGCTATTTCAAAAAGCACGTAAAAAAAAAAAAAAATCCACACACTAACAAGTCTTCTGTATAGAGAGAAAAGCTGCAATAGGAAATGACAGGAGTTCCCTGAATGGAGACTCACAATAATGTGTAAGACTCAGGTAAGCAAAACCATAGCAATGAGTAGTCCCTTTCTCAAAGAGCTTTATAGTCTGCACAAACATGACACAGTAGACAGTGGAAATATTGTCTATGCTTTTTTTCCTTAAGGGCTGATGGACAGAGAGATTAAGAAACTTTCTCAGGGGTGACAAAATATGTCCTGCCATGCCAGTAAATGAAGCCACTTCTAAAAACAAGGTATTAATTGTTGAGACATCCATCTGTTTTGTCACATGTAGGTCAACTGCAGAAAGGGAAGTTTACATGCATGCTACAAGGGCAATTTCTGTTCTGTTTCACAGTGCTGCACGCAAAGTCATTTTCTTCAGTAAGCAAACACCACCTGGGAGATGCTACCTTTGCCTTCTCAGCATGGTTTACTGAGGTTCTCCGAAAGAGTTGCCTTAGAGTTCCCACCTAACATATAAACTACCTTTTGAGATCTGTGCACAGCAAGGCAGTTTCTTCTGTGTCCACTGCCAATGGCATCCAACATGTCTCCTACCATGGAAATTTCCTGAACATACATGAGACAATAACCTAAAATACAAAAGCTAACTACTGCTTCTGGCTCTGCAGTTGCTACTGACCCTCTGAGGAGAAGACTGAGTTCCTAAGTCTGCAGGCTAGGGAGCAAGCATAGATTGAAAACCTCTATGAAACTCAGCCGCCAGATGAGGAGAAGCTCCTTTGCTGGGTAGTGATGGGGGTGTACCTCCCCACGTAACTCCTACAGGCTATAGAGAGAATGGTATTAAATCATGACACTTACCATCAGCCTCTCTCACAACCACAGTAAAGTACTTCACAGCTCCATTAGTATCACTAAACCAGCTGCAGTTAAAAGTAAAGTTGATGGAGGATTTGGTAATCAGCACCTCTTTTTTGTTCACTCGTATGTCTGGAGGTGGCTGAGGGGGACCTGAGTAATTAAAAAAAAAAAAAAAAGAAAAGAAAAAAAAGCATTATCTATGTATTTGCTGCGACCTAGACCTAGTAAAGGAAATGCAATTCTTAATAAAGCTCAGCTGACTGGACCCAAGTCTCTGATTCTATTCTCTTTGCAATCAAGAAGGTATCTTCACCTCCTACAGAGAAACTGCCGAAGGATGAAACAAGCCAGCAGTGAGCTAACTGTAACAACAGTGGCAGCTCCTCAGTAGGAATTCCTGCAGAAGCCCACATGGAAATGCATTAAAGTCTTGCTAAATCTCTGAAATCAGAAATTGTAGCTGCTAAAAATGACAGAGGTTTAAGCCAGGTATTTGCAGGCCATGTAGCACACTCACTGCGGGAAGGTACCTATTTTAAGCATCTAAATTTCTGCTTCCTTTTGCAGAGGAACAGCCCTGAGTCAGCCAGACACAGCATTCAACTATAGAGTACCATCTTCCAGACTGACTGCAGAATTTCCATAGGAAATGTTCTTCGTATGATAGAAAGCTATACCTCAAACCGTGACACAGAAGAACGAAACTGGAAAGCGAAGTACATAGGGAAAAAACCTTCCGAGAAGCAGTGCAGCAGAAGTGGGGATTTTAGAATCCTCATTGCTGAATCTTTTAAAAATCTGTGTTACTGGTACTATATTTCATGCATGGGAAACATATCAAATATGTAAGCAGGTGGCTAAACTTCAAAAGGTTTTAGATTGCAAAAGCAACCAATAATTCACACATTTATACGTTGTTTAGCTAAACCTCTTAGATCTACAAAGCCTAGCTGCAATTTTTTGTGTTCCCTTGAGGTGGGGCCTCCAGTGTTAACCAGAGCCTGGGAGGGCAGCAGTGTTCAAAACAAATAAGATCAAACATGAAACAGCTAACTTTCAAACCGGACTCAGTCTCACTTCTTGTGACATGAGTAGCTAGCTCTTACTACAGCTGAATTTGCAGCATCCTTTGTGGTAGAGGAAGGAGATGACATGGTTGCAATTAAAAGGCAATTGATGGGGGAAGGGAGAAGGTGGTTTGGTGGCTGAACTCTGTAGCTTAGGTCACTAGCTCCCAAACGAAACATAATTTTTATGATTTAGCATTTCACAGAAATGTGGCTTTTAATAAGCAGCTATAGAAGCATCCCTGAATAGTCCTCCTGGCCATCCTGTCATTTTTGAGAAGTTTAGCCCTGGAGCGGCTCAGGCCCCTGTGTTGTGCTGTGCCACTGAATCCAGAGGTACTGCAAAAACTGGAGCAGCTCTAGGGCCAGCAATGGCAGGCTGTTGACCACTGTGATGCCTGGGAGTGCAGAGGCACCAGCAGATGCTGTCACTACCCTCCACTCAGCAGCCTAAGGGTGAAGAAACTGACGAAGCTGTTTCAAAGCACATGCTTTGGAAATCTGTGATCTTTCCTCAGGTCTAACTCCTACAGGTGATTTGGTCAGGTAGCATCTCAGAAGAGTGTACAGAGAGCCCAAAGAGGACCCAGTGTCACAATCCAATGTCCTTACTGAGGGACCTTTTTGCTGAGGATGGCTACCGTCTGTGAGGGGAAACAGCCAGGCACAGGAAGCCAAGCAGCAACCATGAGGACAATTAAAGCTGTGAGATGACGAGGACGTCTTTGGTGCTGAACATCAGAGCAACAGAATAATTTTTCATGTTTCTCAGGCTATATTTCATGAATGAGCCAAATAAGCAGGTCTGGCAATGTAATGAGAGGCAATATAGTTAAAATCCTGCATTGTCTCTCACAACAGGGACCAAAGGACAGGTTCACCCTATTTTGGGCACCAGATTATGAGTGCCACACACTGGCAAATGTGGAGTTCAGAACTGCTTTTGCTGTCTAACCAACACAAGCAAGTGCTTATTGCTGCTCACTGCCTCCCTTCACAGCAACTCTGAATTCCACTTACGGTCGATCATTGTGATGGTGCTGTCTTCAACTACTTCACTCGTCATGTCTGCAGAATGCACCTTGATGGACACCAGGTATCGCTTGTGGGGAACGAGGGTCATGATATTAAGCAGGGATTTGTCTTTTTCTATCCTTTTAGAAAATTCCACTTCACGAGTGTCCAGTTTTTTGCATTCGACACTATACCCATCAAAGTCAGAATCAGGAGGAGTCCAGGAACACGCGATGGCAGTAGAGGTCTGGGGCCGACAATGAAGACTTTGTATCTTGTCTGGTTCTAGAGGAATGTTGAGAAGTTGCAGCTCAGTGGGAAAAGCGTCAGGCATCATGCACTCTGCTCACCCCACAGCCCCTAGATTCTGCATCAACCATTTGATCGAAGCAGGAGGCTGGGAGCCAAAATTCTCACCTCTCCTGCAAATGCGTGCTGCCTGATTATTCGGCAAGGCAGTCTTACTCATTTTAGCCATCTGAAATTGGATCTAGTGACATCAGCCTCATCAGGTTTGTGAAGCTTCAGTAATTGTGAAAACAAGCAAACAAAACTACTTGCTGAAGTCTTAACAAGAACAGTAACACTGGAAAGCAATGGATTTCTAGAACTCTTTTACAACCTATTTGAGGTTACATGTAGTCACCAGTATCAGTCAATGCTAAGACTGTCATCTCATGACTGACCTGGTTTCCTGGGTAGCATGTGGTCTGTCCATATTAGTAAAACATACCACAGAACTATGCTTTATCCACGTAATATTGGAGCATCATTTATAACATGCAACATGTAAGAAGGATGAGATTTCACTTTCAGATGGCAGACACCCACATTTAAGTGATTAAATACAGGTGAAAGAGGTAGCTATGCTCTCATTTTAATTAATATGCTCAATGAGGTCTAAAGAGCTACTCAGCTTACTAAACATAGATGCCAATTTGGAGCTCAATCCCACCCCAAGTGACATAAGGGTTTGCCAAGGCTCAGTTATTTTTACAATTCCAGGTCACTTTTTCAAACCAGCCTGCTACTGAGATTGCTAGAGACAGCTAGAGATCCACAGACACTGACAGAAATGCAGAGCAGTGAAACACTGATTCCAGTTTCAAATCTAGTACAGCAGGGTTTCATTCATCCTTCCTGTCTGATCGTTCAGAAGCATTTTGATTATTTCAATATCCTATTGTCCCTAATGTCAGAGAAGTTTGGATATTCAGCCTTATTTTACCCCTGAAACTGATTGATTCAGGCTCTGCAACTGAACAGCCCTACTCTGGATGTGAAGATTGCAAATGTATGTCCATGTTCAATCTTTAAACAGTTGACCTTGCACACAGTAAGGGCTTAGAGTCTAGCTGAATTCATTGCCAGTCATTCATGAATTTATTAATGGAAATTACTGACTGCGAAAGGTAAGATTTAACCATTTTGCATCTTCTCCAGCTGACTGTTAGGGTGCAGTGGAAATTGTTACTTACTTGTTCTCACACTTGCAGACTGTGACTGACTGTATGTCTTCCAGCTGTCACCACTGACCGTTCTGACACTGAACTCATAGAGTCTTCCTGGTCGCAGGCCATAAATGATGCGTACTTTTGATTTACTGCTGCTGTAGGGATTGAATACTGTGAGGGGATCTTTTGGAAGCCACTGCAACTCAAAATCGTCATAGTCTGTCCAGTCTGGAGGACCCAGCCAAGTGATTGATAAAGAAGTGTTTGCAACATCAGTAAAGGATACAGTGTTAGGAGGGCTGGGTGCTACACAGGAAGGGGGGGGGGGGGGGGGGAAAAAAAAAAAAGCTTTCAGTTGCCTCTCCTGGTCAACGTTTAGAACAAATACCTAACGGCTTAAATACACCTAAGCAATTGTACGCCACAGCTAG